TTTAATCAGTTATTATCAATATAGAGTCTAGCACAAATGTGAGTTAAATAGAACTTTTGAATACTATCTATTTAAAGACTAGGCGTTTCAAACGAACATAATGCAAACTTCATACACATGGTTCCTTTTATTATCTTGAAGAGAACGAAAACATAGGTTGATGCAGAATTAATATGACTTTTTATTTCGTTAGGTTCTCAATCACATGATTGTGTAATGAAGTAATTGAATACAGACTAATGGTAATGAAGAACAGTATGAATTGGAATCAGTCAATTCGGATGAAAATTATGAATTAAAGAAAAATGATAGTCACGCAATCAAAACTTGTAAAAGTGCTGAAATAATCAATGATGCAATAAAAATGATGTAATATTACCAGGGAAAAGAAAGATTACTGTTTCTTTTTGGACGCACAGATTTGGTTCTAGACGTTTGTTGGGATATTCAGGAAAATATCCCGGAAATTATCCTGTTAAGCCTAATGCTATCCTTGGACATGAAATGGTATCATCTTATTGGTCAATATTTCTTTAACGTGTCATTTCCCTACTGGCCATTATCGTAAAATGTTATTTTCTATTTTATGGTACGTGTGGTCTGCTTGACTGGTATATAAACAAAGTATGTTTGAAGTATAATGATTCATATATCCGACGCTGAAACTTGTGTTCTGGACTTAAGTGGCTGGGCTAGACAGGGAAGCGAGACCAATCAGAACCCTACGTCGTTCTACGTGTTTGCGCGTCTTCGGTCCGATCAATAATTCGCTAACCCTTAATCCGCAACAATTTTCACGTTATAACGACGTTTTATCTCTGTGGCTTCAGAAGATTAGTATCAGGTTGCTTAGTATTCACTTTGAAAGATTTCACTGTATACACTTAATGTCCCGTATCAAGATGTCTCGAGAGGGTTCTGCAGAGTGCTTTTAATACATTTGACCTAAGAATTTTTGGAATATGTTCTTTGAATTAGACGTAGGCCCTCCTTTCTGTTTTATCAATGTAACTGTAGTGAACCGAACACGGAGCATCTCAATTAAATCTGAGAACCATATATTAAATCGTTAATTTGAAAAATGTCCACTAACTGTCTCAAAATGCCTCAGACTTCATTGTCCTTGCATTTCCATACAAATTGCACTCTATTCCCACTCTTGCTTTCTTGATCTTCCCCCATCTTCTGATGCTAGACATTACATTCCTGACTCGCGTCATATACTAAATATATCAATAAAAGTAGCACGCACTACAGTAACTGCTTTGCCAGATACATGTGAATTTGCATACGCAGTTGGTGGTAACATGAAAGGGATACCTACCAATCTATGATTGTATTAAAGAACATGGGATTTTGGACAAAATTAGTTTAACTGAAGGATAAGTTCTTGTAAATGCAGTTTTCATTTGTTTATTCATCTGAGACAAAAAAATTTATGATCTTATTAACCCTGTTGGAATCTTCACAAAACCATGATACACATATTCATTTCTAATCACCTTCGTATTTATAAGTATGTCTATATACATTATAACTTTGATTTTAAAATATTACAGGTTGTAAGGAGCTGAGAACGTAGCGAAATAAGATGAATTCATGCTATTCTGCATCAATCTTTTTTTGCTATCTACAATGCAAACTATTATTTGATGATTTCTTGTAAATGGTTTTGCTAAAATCACGGCCATAGATGCAGCCGTTCTTTGAATAGATTCCCTGAAGCCAACTTGTAAATGATGGATATATATATATCCTAGTTTTACGTGAAGGGTTTCAGTCGTTGAAAACTCTTTAAAAAGAATAGAATATACATAGATATCCTGAATTTAAAATTCATTAAGTACTTTATCAGCCTCTACAGAAAACAATAGTTCGTCCTCTATTACAGAAAACCAATGTTTTGATGTTGCGTTCGTTCAAATAAGTACAGACTTCTTCAGAAAGAATATACGATCTGTTAAAGTGAATTACTCGTCATGTTATATGGAAATCTGTCGTGCAGACAGAAATTAACAGTTTAATGAGTAATTTCAATCACATTGCTTTATAAATTAAATTGATCATCGACTAGTAAAATCATTACAAATTCATGTTAACTTCAGAACGGTTTATTAAAATACAGTACAAGATATCTCATTTTACACTCACAGTTACAATGTGAAGTATTCGAATAGACACGTTTTGAAATGGTTGCTTAATGTAGTAAAAGTTTGGTGTTAATTTTCTAGAAATTATTTTGTAGAAACTTAAACTTATTGCTTCAAATAAGTGAATGATCAAAATGTATCTCTACGACTTTAACGCAATGACCCGACTGACTGACTGACTTAATGCAATGATGTTACTCTTTATTTTTGGTTTGAACAGTAAAATTATTGTGACTTGGAGTCAGGTTTGAAGATTATTTCATTCATTAGGATTGTAAGTATGAAATCATTCGAATCCTCTTAAACAACAACCGATATATTTACATACAATTGAGAAAAAGCGAAAACTGTACAACCTAACAATATATATATATATATATATATGCATATCTGACATCATATTCCCGGAATAAAGAAAATCAGAAAAATGGGAAACTTGTTAACATGTCATGTAAAGTATCTGTACAGTTTTCTGTTTATATTTAAAGATTATATTGTAATGATGAACAGCAGCTGATACAACGAACATGATCAATAAAATAAGTTTCTACATCATATGAATTAAAGAAATTATAGTATAAAACCTAGTTGTTCTTTTGTACACACATCGGAAGTAATTGAGTTCTATTCGAACAGTAAAAGTGATATCTTTTTCTTGATTTACCATCAAGTAATGAGACTACAGATGAGACAACCAATATTGATAACGTAAATTATATCTATTAGATATTTGACCAAATCATACAGTTAGAATGTAAAACAACTAACGTTTAAAGAATTCGTGAAATATTCCCATATTGTAAGTAGCTATCATGATTAATTTCTGAAAGGCTTTTTTGTTGAACTTTCCGTTTCAAATTGTGACTGTTAATTATTTGAATAATCATATGTATCGTTTTATCGAACAACTGAAAACCCGTCAGAAAATCAAGTACATCCTACAACAGGAGACAGTATAAAACAGCACCACAATTGATACAAGCAACTCTTATATTACACTTCCAGTTGGAAGGGTTATGGAAGACATAAGACTAGACCGTAAGAAATAACCGATAATTCGAACGATAAACACAGATTTTCAAATATGACAGTTGTGTGCCATTTGATTAAAAAAATAACCAATTGAATTTAGTGAACGATGAGAAACTGAATCCGATCATCTTAGAAGACAAGATATTGCTCTTAAATCTTGGACGCTTAGACTGATTTAAAGTGAAAATCCCAAAATATATGGCCGAAAATGGAGCTAAACTTTTTACATCGACACGCTCTCATGAAGCTCCATCCTCAAAGGCTCTACCAAACGGATTATACTTACTGCTTCCTATTAGAAAGGAATCTCCGCACAAATGATAAGACAAAGCTAGGAGGAGGAATATAGACTGAGTACTACCACTAAATATGTAGCTTCTGTCAAACTCCTGTGACAGACGTACTAGTAGCTGAAAATCTAGATGGACGTTCTGGGTTCTACACATTAGTAATAGTTTAGGTAGTCCATTGGAATTCTTCCATTACAAGTAGGATAAAACTAGTCGTCTTCTGCATATTTGCCATGAACATAACCTACTTTCTAACCAAGAACACAATCACAGTTGTTATTATCGGAGCACAACTTACCGTCCCCTTTTCTCAATTGCATCTGCAAATTTACGGAATCAGTGGCACGATATTAAAACCTGTAAAATTGAGAAGGCTGGTTTCAATGAGATAATAATCATAGAAGACGCTTCAAATGTCCGACGGAGTAATTCAAATGGATCGTTGCTCTACAAATTTTGACCAGATCATCCTACACTTCTTTTTTCCATCACCGTTTTCTAATTTTTATCAACATTATCATCCCAATTTGTACGATATAACTTGTTAATGCTTTTCTACACGAAGCATTTCTTGTACGATAAGTAAATAACCATGAATAAATGTATAAATCCTCTCCTAACCCCTCACATTAAAAAAGACACTTGTGGTATTAATTTTCTGATAAAGAACAAAGTAAATAAATCCACTAACTTTACTAAATTGTTGTTAGATATTTATCTCTGAGGGAACAAATAATACATATGTATGGGTAATTTGTATGTTAATCATAAGTATCCATTTAAAAGTTTGTAATTTTAAAAAACAGGAAAATAAATTGAAAGTAAAAAAAGCTTTTCTTTCAAAGTTTTCTCGTTCTTCTTTTTCTCTACTTCATGTAATTTGAAACAACTCTTATTATATCAGAAGAGATAATCAGAAAAAAAAACGGTATGCGTATATAATTGCTGAACATAATAATACAGATTAAATTGTTAGTAGAAAACATATTCGTTCATTTGAGAATACTTCTCTTTGAAATTAGTAGGTATCAACTTAATGTATTTTGAAGAAAGAAAATTTTATAAAAGAAAATACTACAAGAAAAGAACAAAAAAGGTAAATGATAGGAATAATTAAACACATAATTATCCTTTTTGATACTGATATTATTGTTGTATTAGAAAATATAAAGCCACAATTTCGCAGTGCTTCCCACGATGGACATATATATATATATTCGTGAACATCAGATAAGAGAGCGGTAAAATCCCAATAATAATAATAATAATAATAATAATAATAATAATAATAATAATAATAATAATAATAATAATAATAATAATAATAATAACGATAATACCAGAATGAAATGAATTGACAATACGAAACAGAGAACAACTGAAGTGATAACATCTAAATAAAAATATCAAGATAACACTTAGAGAGTGGAAAAAATGACTAACTCTATCTATGAAGAGGATAAAATTAACATTGTTAAATGAAAATAATGAAATCAATTTTTTTTCTCAAAAAAAAGAGGGGGAAACACAAAATGCTATTTTCATTGTTCAATAATTATCAAATAATAGTTAAAGATTTTTATGTAATATATGTAGATGCAATAATTTACATTTTTGATTTATAATTAGGACGATGATGAGAATGAAGCGTTGATGATCGATCATCAACTGTGTCCTTATTAACAACAAACATATCAGATGATAATGATGAAACAGTAGATGAATCTAATGAAGATACAATTTTAAATGCTTTAGCTGGTAATATAAGTCGTAGAAAATAGTCGAAAATAATCAATCCAATTAAAACTATATGAATACAAAAATAAATACTGGACCAATAAGCAATGGTAGTCTCCCAGTCTAATAATAAAAACCCCATACAACAATATTCAAAGACACGCATTTTTAATAACCATGAAATAAATGATACACTACCAGTTGGTAGACTATTTGCGCATAAATTCATTAAATTTTTTAGACTTGTCTCACCAACTAATGCAAGTGGGATGACCAGAAAGGATAAATAATAACCTGCATGTAAACCATGCCAATAGGCACTAACCATCATTGTCCATAATGTCCTGTAGAAATTTACATAATAAAAAGAATGAATGAAAAGAATAATTGACACAGGCATTATATATCAAAAAACAAGACTAAATGGTGTCCAAATCGTTAGATTGTTGAATAATAATTTTGGACCACAACCACAAAGCTTTATATAAATGGTAGAAATTATCAATCCCTAACAGGTCTAGACACCCCATCAATTATTTTGGTTCGTGTGATTAAACAGTATTATTGAGCCTTAATAGAACATATGACTTATTCGCAAAGCATAATGAATTCATTAGGAAGAAAATTCCAAACAAATTACTAATACAAAATACTCGGGCATCAATTGAGTTCCTTAATTGATAAGGGATTAAAAAATGAAATGAATCGCCCAAATGAATCACTTGCCGTATATTTCGTGAAGCTTTGCAACGTCTATAAAAATAATTGGCCAACCAAAATTGCACCGAACAATTCCACGATTTCATCGATTCACGTACTGTAGGAGCGAATTCACATCCCCATATACTTAAGTTGGATATTGTATTATAATTATATATTACATTTGTCTCTGACTTCATTTCAAAATTCGGTTTATTTTTTAGTGTGGAATGAATAACAGAATTGACAGGGTCAGAAGTTTGATGACGATGAAGATGATTGGGCTGGTTTATAACGCTGTTTAATTTCACATCATTGGCTGCCTGTTGTTCCATGTATCTAATGTGACAATCGGCAATATAACAAAATTAAATAAACAATAGTTTAAATTGTTCGTTTGAATTCAAACAAATGTTTATCAATGTAAAATCTTTACGTTTAAATGATTCAGTTACTGAGGTGTGACCAGTGTTGACAGGTAAAACGCTTACAATGAAATTCTAAAACCGAGAATTTAATACCAGAGGAAGACTGGAAATACGAACAACACTAACTCTTACAAAAACGAAACTGTTGTAATAAACAACAGAATAATGGATTGCCGAAGTCCTGAATTCAATGTTCAATAACCACTGAAAACTTTTTAAGACCAATTAGTTATGAACTGGGTGATTTTAATTATGCTTACTTTTGTCTCATAGATTCATTTCTAGGAGAGAGGGTTTATTTATTTATTTGAACACACAAATACTGGTACAAGAGGGTACCAAATACATATGCGCCACATAAATCATTCTATTTGTGAAGGCTGTGATACTGCCAAGGTGCCCAAACCGAAGCAGGTGGTTTTCTTAGGGGGCCACACCCGGAACCTTCGACCTGAAGGGCTGATTCACAAGGCAGTGGAATACCGTAAGGAGATGCAATCCCATGGTAGCCGGTGACCAACGATCGGTTCATACGCCATTTGTTCCTTCAGGATACTGGAGCCCATGTGCACCATTGGTTTGGAATCAGGGTTTTCCAACTCCCGTGGGTGGGTTCTCCATGTCCACCAACACGGTTAAAGCGCCGGACATTCGATTTTCGTCCTCTCAATTTCATAAACAACAGTCAGTCAGTCAGCTACAACGTAGGACCAGGCACATATGTGCATCGGTCCAGGTTGCCATACCGCATCAGCACAACAAGATGAACACCGGATTCATAGCAGTGGTTAGGTCAAAGGTGGTAATATATGGTAAACAACAGTAATGCAACGAGAAGGCAGTGAGTAGGACTTCCCTGACATAGGCTACATACGCGTGGCCATGTGGGAGCATTTCGAGAGGGAGAACGGACTCTCTCCACTATCGGCCGTACCAGGGCATTTGGGGGTGAACAATAACATTGTGACTATCCGAATGATTGTTCACTCATTTTAATTGTAAATCAACTAGACGTTCCCAGTGGATATAACAATATAAGATGGTAAGAGAACAGAACGAACACTATGTCTTACTCATTGTGAAGATTCATTTAGGTAATCTCAGACGATATTGGTACGATTAATACGATACTGAAATAGAAGCACTTTAGTGTGATAACAAGATGAAAGTCATTGATCTGAAAAATGGCTATACCCAATCTTTCTGATCGGTTGACCAAGGTTTACTATAAAAATGTGTGGAAGCACAATTGTGTATACGAATAATGTTCATTACAAAATACAAACACAGTTAAAACGTCATATTAAGGTCGGTAGACGAACATCCAATGCATTCAACCGGGAGTGCTTCAAAACAGGTTACAAGGGTAGTTGAAATGAAACGATTGTCATTACTGAAACTGACTAAGGTAATACAACAGTGGTCATGAACAAAAACGACTATGAAGAAAAAGCTACTAATCGTTTATCAACGGGACTATATTTAAAGATCGATTCGAAAAATGTTCAAGTGTTTAAAAATAAAGTTGCATCAGAGACAAGTGCACTTCTGAAAGAACTAAAGCAATGGGATCTTCAGTATCTCTGATTGTTACAAATTTATTTATGTCCCACAGTGAGTCGCTTATTTTTGCCAGCACTATCAATCCATGCACGTGGCTCAAATATAAAGATGACACATTTGTCATTATTAAAAATAATCTTCTCAGAAATTTCTCCAAACACATAAACACGCTCTCAGAACATATCAAATTCACTTTCGAAAAGGAAGACGAATATAATGAACTACTATTCTCAGGCTGTCTAGTTAAAAGGAATTCTAATGGTAGTCTAAATCTAGCTATATACCGAAAACCAACAAATTCAAATCGGTATATTGATGTTAACTGTGCGGACTCATCCAGTGAGAAAATCCCCCTAGCCCTAAATTTTTTCAGAAGAGCGACCAGGATCATTACCTCAGAAGACAAGCTGAGAGAAAAAGAGAATATAATTAACATCTTACGATTAACTTTTCTAAAAATATTCTTAAAAACATATTAAAACAAAACTATCCTTCTGTAAAAACCAATCCTGATGAAGGATCTTGGATTGGTACTGTGGTTTTACCTTACCGCCAAAGTATGACGGAATAATTACAACGGATATCAAAAACATACAGAATTAAAGCTTTCTATTAGACAACTAACATTCTAAGAAACGCTTTATTTGAGTTAAAGATAAAATCCCGTTCACCTCTACACAAAATTGTCTACAGATTAGGTTGTGCCGATTGCGGTGTTCTACATTGAAGAGTTCCCCTGAGATCTTGACTCGTGCCAAGGGATACTCAAGTTAAATAGAAAAGCTTAATAATCCTGTAGAACTGTGAACTTTACGGGTTAAATCATCAATAGCAGTACATGCTATTTTCAATAATCACCAAGTTGATATTACAAATATCAAAATAACCCAGGTTTTCCCAAATATAAAGAGAGGCGAGTAGCTAAAGCGTTTCAAATAATGCTAAATCCCTCCGTCCTTAATAGGAAAGGCCTGAATATTGATCCAACCTGAACTATTTGTCCAAACAATCACATTTGATCTTATTTATTTTCCACATAATCTCAACCTCACCACTTCATATTACAAATGTATACATTTTTCATACCCAAATTCTGACGTACAAATTAATGGTGACATGCCATACAAATTCACCTTGACTAAGAATAAATTGACTTCGACATATTCAGACCTATTATGATTTTGATTGTAATAAAAATATTCTGCATTGTTTTCTTTGTACTATTTATACTTGTAGTAATTTATTTCGGTTATTTACTTTGAATAAGTGGCCTACATTAAGCCACGAAACGTCAGAAATACAATTTTTCTACTCATTGAGATATGACAAAAAATATATTTATTGTTGAAGTCTGAAATCTACTTAAGTCGTTAGTTTAAGTAATATCAACATGATCATTTAATTGCAAAACACATCGTGAAAACGGGCAGAAACATGATAGTTTTTTAATGATCATTGACGAACAAAGATTATCAGACGCACCTGGTGGGCTCGTAGATGTACACTACTGAGCAATCCTAAACTAGGGTAAAGCAGTTGATCAATAGTCTCTAGTTTTTAATGTTACCCTATGTGAAGTCAATTTATAACGAATATAATAAATGAAACATGTATTTTGTGTAAATTCCAATAAAGAAAGCAAAAAAATCCCCCACTAACTTACAAATCTAATGCATGTAGATTAGTTGGTCCTTCACCTTTTTCGGGTTCAGATAATTTAGGATATGCACCTAAACGAGCGGATATACACACGCACTCAGACATTTTCCAAGCAAAATAAATTCGCATTCGGAAGGTAAAGAAAATAACCATCATATAAAAAAATCGATACAGGAAATGTCGATCATAGAACTCTGCAGTGCGTACATACTGAAAATAATGGTGTAAAAATGGGTTAGGATTAAAAAAGTTATACAGACATGTCAGACAGTATCCCTACTGAATATATAAAACGATAAAATATAAAGCTTTGAGTGGTATAATTATGGATATGATTTATACACTATAAGGAATATTGAGTGTTTTTAGACAGGATAAAGTTAACGCATTACCTTTGTATACATAGATAATTAAAACACGTTCGCAGTTAATTCCCTAACACCTAGAGCTAAGATTTGTCTTTTATTTAAGTTATTGGTCGGCAAATTTTACATTTTTATAAAATCCAACAAGTATGACGTTTCAAATAGCATGAAGTAGTGAACAGGTTTAACTACAGGGAGGCTTATCGTTAAACCATAAGCTAATGTAGATAAGCTTTGAAGCTGTAGGTATGTAAATGAGAGACGTGCACTAAACACACACACACCTCAACTTACTAGATACTCCTTGTCGTCTAATGGATGGAGCCGTGGATTAGTAGTGAGATAAATCGATTCTCGACTACTGGACTGATATGTCAAACTTCGCACTACCTATTTCAGAGTTTGGATAGCCGAATAATATCATTAAATCATAAACAAAAAATACGGCTTAAACCATGCCTCATGAACCTTTATTTAGTCACAGAGTTGCACCACTTTATGGCGAATAAGATGTTTACGTCATTATTATGTAAAACCTTATCAGTGAGATAGCAAATATAATCGGCGATCATATATCGTAACACTAAACACTTACATCAACAGTATAAAAGTGAGAGAGTATTAAATAAGCTACACCGAATGGAGGTGCTTCTTGAAGGTGTTGAAGAAGAGGTTCTTCTGCAGTTATTACGGTTTCAGAATCCCGATTGCAAAAGTCTTCAAACGTTTTCAGATTGTAATATGGACCTAAAACAAATATAACGAGTTTCGTAAAGTGTTTCTTGAAAATAATACAAACATATATGCTAAAATTTCCTAAGATATTGCAGTGCGAGACCGAGGATATTCGATTTGATTCCCGCATACGCGGTCGTAAACACGTACTACTGAGGAGTCTCGCACTGGGACGAAGTGACTGTTTAGTGCTTCCAGATTTCTAGTGGTGGTTCAACTGAGATCGTTTCATTAATTCGACGAAATACATCATACTGGTAAATTCGGTACTAATTGTATACTCACTTTTCGTATCCACAACTTTAGAACTTGAATCTATAGGATATGTTCCATTAGTTCAAGATAACCGGTATTATTAACACACGGCATCTGTTTGAGTCAATTCATCGACGTCCATTAGTTTCATTTGGTCAGTAATACCTCAACCTAGAAGAATCTCAAGAAATTAGGTGCTTAATAGTTGGTAGATTACAATATCACAATACATCCAAGCTTGTGCATTAAATACTTATACAGCGGCTCGTCTTTGGTGGAAATTCGACTGTATCTAAACGTTCTCGGGTCACTGTCCGGTTGAAAATTGCATTAAATACTTCTTGTATAAGAGCTAGAAATATTGAGCATACGCCTAGATTGAACGTCAGTAATTAATAAACCGGTGATCCAGTGGTCAATGGTAAAGTTCCTAAAATACTAAGTTCTACACTAACAATATATAAAAGTGGTTGGCTTAGCAGAAGAGTGCATATGAGCATTAGAACTAAAAAACCGAGAAACACGTTTTATCATATTTATGCTAAATTTAATTAAGCACAAATAAAACTTCTTACCTGTAAACAAACCAATATAGCAATAGGCATACAACATAATCATCAGTGGAGAAGGCTCGATACATTTATATTTTTTTAGAAGTTCAAGTTTGCTTTTATCCTGTGGGTGCAAATCAGAATTTTGTAATTGATTGTTTATTCGCCAACTATCACTTATCTCAAATGATGCACCTATTAACTGATTATAAATCAATAAACACATGAAAATACGTACACGTAAGGTCAATAAAAGCTGCACAATATTTGCGACAGGAGTAACCTGAGAGAATCCGAAATAGTGACAAGTTCGAAAAAATCCCAAATAACCAAAGCACCATACAACAGCTACGTAATGCAAAAATCTTAAGATAATAATTATTATCAAGATTAAACAGCCTACCTTGCAGGAAAAAGAATAAAGGCCAATGTGAATACAGACGATGTCAGGAGTGAATGCCATACAGCTTGTCCCGCAAAACAGAAAAACATAAGAAACCCTACAACAGCCGCGAACCAAGGTCGATATTTCCCACATTTTGGACTAATGGCCCAGTAACCAGGGACAATATAAGTATTATTGTATATATCATATCGTCTTGTGTCATGGTCTATTTACTAGAGCGATTTATGAACATTGACAAATCGAAATGTATTGAAGGTAACTGAAAAAAAAATAATAATGAAATGAAAAGGGATAAAAACAAGTGATTAATTAATATAACTTTTGTTTAATGTGGGACAAGCAACTTTACACTGCATTAACAATTTACACACAAGATACTAAAGACAGCGATAGAGAAAGTAAGGTAGCTACTGATTGCATTTGATGTCAGTCTTGTAAAAATAGGATCTACCTTCACTAAGTACCAAGACTTTGAACATAAGAGAAGTAATACAATATAGAGAATCCTTAAAAAAACATTGCATGGATGGAAAGCAGAAAATGTTAAAATCAAATTTTTTTATGTGACAAATTGTTAATTGCAATACTAGTCAACGATCCTCCTTCCACGTTGTGGGCAGCCGGGAAGGAACATCAGCCCTCATACCCGTAACAGCACGCGAGACCAAGTTAGTCACATTCAAATCCTTCCTACACCTCCCAATACCTCTCTTATCCCCACGACTAATTCTTCTCACGTCCCTTTATCACCTCGCACCGCTAGGGCAAACGATTCGAGTACGCGGAACGCCATTCCTGGTCTTCTGAAACCACGCTCTAAACTACACGTAGGAGCTTTTAACGTCCGAACACTGTGCCAAATAGGACAACGGACTTTCTTAGATAGGACTTTAGAATCTCGAGCCATCGATGTGTGCTGCGTCTCCAAAACGCACATACGGGATCCGAGTAGCGTCATTCATTTGACATCACCATGTCACACTTCGTGTATCTGGAAGCCCTGGTGCTGCTTCTCGTGGCCTTGCCGGCGTAGGTGTAGCATTGAGTCCTAGTGCAGAACTAGTTCTCTTAGAATGGATCCCAATAGACAGTCATCTGTGCGCTGTTCGACTAGACGGAACAGTAAGGACTCGGAAAGATAGAGACACTCGTCGTTGCCTCTTCGTCGTCTCTGCAGCAGCCCAACCTTCTCTTGCAATGAGATTTGTCAAGCAAGATAGGCTTTTCGGAAAACCATGTTGTGCCCTGGAGAAAAGATTATGCCCTTCAACATAGTTTAGAACGGATATCCGAATGATTTTCTCTATCAGTTTTACAACTGCACTAGTTAAGCTAACAGGTCTATAGTTACTAACTAAATCCCTACTCCAGCATTATACACCGGATTTATTATAGCGTCTTTCCAGTATCTAGGCAGTCTGGACTGTCTCAGAGACATGTCAAATGGTTCAGCAATTTCATCTGATATGGCTTTCATAATCCTAGGATGAATATCATCAGGACCACTGGACTTATTAGGTTTGAGATGATAAAGTAGCCTTAAAACAGTACCTTTCTTAATGACTACAGGATCCATCAGCGAGCCGTCACATTCACGATGAATCGTTGGTTGTTTCTCATTACCGACAGAAAATACTTTACTAAAATATTCCGATAAACCTTCAGCCCTTTCGGCATCATTTTCTGCCAAGATTAACGGATTTTCTTGTATCAAAAGTGATGAAATTCCATCGCTTCTTTGAGTTCACCTTTTTATATACGAGAATAACCGTTCCGGACTATATATCTAGAATCCCTAACCAATTGTTTTTCGTATGATAGTCTAGTCTTACTTATTAAGGCTTTACACGTATTCCTAATCTTCCAATAACTGGATCTGTATTGTTCTAAGCCAGTAGAGATGAACAAATTCCAGTGCTTCTTCCTTTTACTAAGAAGTTTCCTGACTGGTTTAGTTATCCATGGTGGACTGTTATTTGGTCTTCGTGGCACTAGGCACAGTATGAACGAGGAAGTAACTAGACTAAACTTACCTTTAAATACAGACCATGCTTCTTCAACTGATAAGCTAGTATCTACAAACCAACCCGTCTTAGCAGAGCATTCCTGAATGGCTGATATGTTAGCTTTCCATACATTTGGGCGAGGTGTGACCTGATCGTATAACATGTCCCTAGTTCTAAACGCGAATGACAAAACAGCGTGATCGCTATTCACTAACGGTGGAAGAATATTTAGGTCGACAACAGATCTCCAATGCTGTTTAGCGGACGATGTAAAAAAGGTGTACTGTAGATGAAATAGTCCCTCAAACTTACTTCTGTACTACTCAACTATTCTCATGATTAATGCTAATTTACAAGACTTTCTATGGTCACTGAAAAACATCTAGTTTGTAACACCAGCTTCCAAAAATCGAGAATACAAAAAAACCTCCCCCAGGTCGTTGCACTATTCAGGTTCACCTTTTGCTTAGTAATGGTGTTATGAGGGAGGAAAAGTCAAAAAAGACAAAAGGAACGAAAAGTAAATGTTAAAACCTGCATGACACCACGGACGACTGAACTACCGCCTTCGAAATAAATCAAGCGATTTCACAAATTAACAATGCACTCTTGATTTTATGCATTATAACAACTCCAAGAATCGTGAAACACAAACAATTTCATAACCGTTTTGTGAGTTAACCTCATCATAATGTGTTAAACAACTTTTCATCAATAGTGGTTCTAGTTTACTTGCCGGATTTAATGTAATGAACTTGTAATAATTAAACACCACATCAGAAGGGTAGGACCAACCTCTTATTAATGGTTGCGTTTCTTACAGTCTCTAAGCCTTTGCCACACTGATAATCACCGTTTTTGCTGATGTTTACCATACGCTTTGCATTTGCTGCTATCTCACACAGTATACCACGACTCGACTTTCTGACTACACTTAGTCACCGTAGTTCTGTTTTCGATTTATTTACATGCAATACGGGTTTGGCGACTGTCTAAATGATCTCCAGAATTCTGCACGAACTGCACCATAGTCCTCATACATTTTTGTACTCACTCATCCAACGGTTAAACTAATAATACCCGAAGGAAAGTTCATAGCAGCTATCAATACATATAAGGACGGTGTTGTCTCGTCGTGACATTATGACACATTCAAACTACTATAATTATTCTCCGTATCCTACGGAGTATTGTTTTTTCGCAGCTGTCATCTACCAGATGATTTTGACACATCAACCGGCTTTTCAAATACTCGACTATTTAAATGCTGTCCAGTTCGATTGGTGTTCTGACGACACAACCATTCGCAAGTGTAGCGGTAAATAAATCCCTAAAATAAATAGCTCTGTAAGTTTTCGACATTGGATGCTGACCATATGTTTTAGTGGAATCATCTAGCTGAAGGCGCTCGGTCAGGCATCCGCACCAGATCACGTGTAGTAACGCCGTGCTCAACATCAACCGCAATCGCTAGCCAGATTAGATCAGAGAATCCCGATATATTGGTCATCGCCAAATATACTCTTCCGATCTTCTCGACTCTGTCTTTTGATTTCTCTTGGTGGGAACGAAATACATAAGAAGGTGTTACTGGTAGAAGCGTTGTCAAACACTGAATACTTGTGACATCATCACAAGAATCATCAAATTACGGTGTTGAGCAAATCCCCTGCAAACTAGAAACAACATTACCGCCTCTATCCCAACAATGACAGCATTTTTCACCGGTATCATTGACATAAGTACACAGTGACACTTTTGGTTTCTTAAGTGCTTTCTCGCCGTTTATCATCCTGTAGAGAAAACCTCATCATATAACCGTCACCCTTGATCCGTAGTCATCGACCCTTGCAGATTGTAACAGCAATATATACGGCAGCCTGCTTGAATATATGGGCTACCTGTTCCTGACATCTAATTATTTCAACAAGTTATCTGTTTTTTCGTTTGTTTTAACTTATCATTATGTCCATTAATCGCATAACCTATTCAGGCGCTTTTATGAAAAGCCTACGATCTTTCGCTGCACAAGTTACAAAAAAGTACTATAAAAGGCATCGTGGTGGTTGGCAATATGCGTTAAAGTGAATGAACATTAATCGTATGTCGATTCCTGAGCTTCTAAATTCTAACTGCCGACCACTAATCAACTAAATCGACTATCTGCAATTCCTACTAAGTCAAAATATGTATCGTAATTCTGGTGTCATCACTATTCAAGAATCTTGGTTAAATGATTTACAAAACGAATGCCTAGTATAACTACGTGATTTCGAAATTTATCATCAGGATCGATCAAACAATAAAAAGAGGTGTGGTGGTGGTGTAGCTACGTTTGTAAACGTAAACTGGTGTCGATCTTCTCTTGTGTGTTTTAAGTTTTCGAACTACTTTAACGACTGTCTAACTCTAAGATGTCGTCCAAAACATCTGAATAAATACAAATATGTTTATGTTACCAATATCTACGTGACTCCAGACTGCACATTATCTGAGCTATCTGTTTTCGCTGGTGAATTCACTGAGTTCGTTGTTACTGCCTTCAGTGATTCACTTTCAGTTGTATATGGTGATTGCAATTCATGTGACTGTAGCTTCCCTACGTCACTAGGTTGTAGCGTGGCGTCGAGTTG